GCTCACTTGGTAGCCCAGGCTGGCCTCGAACTCACAGAGATCCGCCTGGCTCTGCCTCCCGAGTGCTGGGATTAAAGGCGTGCGCCACCAACGCCCAGCTTTAATTTAAATTCTTAAACTTATTATTCCATTTCATATCTGTGTGTTTTGCCTGCATCTGTACTCTCTGGAAGAGCAGCGCATGCTCTTGACCACTGACACCTCTCCAGCTCCAATTTAACTTTTCTTTCGGGCTCCACTTTCAGGTAGTCACTGGAGCTCACAGCTGCAGCATCCCTGACAGCTGCAACAGGGCTGAGTTCTTGGATGAAGGAACAATAGAATTAGAGGGTAATTGTGGGCTTTTGAGTCAGCCAGTCCTGGATATGAACCCTTGCTGTCCCACTTAGCAGGTGTGAGAGTTTGGGGACATCTGTAACAATCGTCCCTTGGTTTCCTTATTTGGAAGAACACTCTGACTCAGAAGTTAAGAGTATTTGTGGCTCTTTCAGAGGACTCCAGATTGGCCACTTGTAACTCCAGCCTCAGGGGATCTGATAACTCTCTTCCAGTCTCCATGGGCACCCGCACATGAGACACACACACACACACACACACACACACACAGATAAAAATAAGTACATTTTAAAAATAGAAAAAAAATTGTCATAAAAATATCCCACTTTTTCAATTTTAGTGTGTATTGTATAGATAACGGATGTAAAGCTCATGGTATATAGTTCTAGGTATGTATTAAATACTCAATAGGCTTTGTTCCCCAAAGCAATGATTTAAGCTAAGTATAATGACATCTGTCACCATGTAAGTCCTACCTTAAAATTTTTTTAATTAATTAATTTTATTTTATATATATGAGTACTTTGATTGCATGTGTATGCCCTTGGGGACTATAAGGGGGTGTTGGGTCTCCTAGAACTGGAATACAAATGGCTGTGAGCCACCGTGTGGGTGCTGGGAATTGAACCCAGGTCCTCTGTAAGAGCATCCAGTATTCTTATCCTCTGGGCCATCTCTCCAGCTCCTGTAAGCCCCAGTTTTGCAGAAGGGTCACATTAGCTCAGGAATTCATGACCAGCCTACATAGCATAGTGACACCCCATCTCTAAAAGATGTGTTCTCATTGTTTT